GTTGTGAAACAAGCCTCTTATAAGCATATGCACATTTTATATGTTGCGCCTGTCTATTCACATTATTTTTTAATTCCAGTTACATTCCCAAATGGGCAAGCTCAGACACTGTCAGACTTATCACCAAATGTTTCATTAACATATAGAAGTACAGACTATTCTACAGAGGTATTGGTACTTTTTCACAGGTGAAAAGATCTTATCTAAATATTCAAAACATACATCTGAGATCACGTATAGACATGCCACATCGGTACATGATAAGCTCACCTGCAGTTACTATGGGAAGATGATTACCCCAGTAGGAGATCCAGAGAGGAAGGGCACATTTTAATGAGGAGCTTGTCTGCAATGTTTGTGGAGAGGAATGCAGTAATAAAATGTTACTTAACAGGGTGATGTTTATACCCAAACAATATGTGGACTGAGACACCATTACTGTCATGTATTTGATGTTCTGTACTTTCTGCACATTTTATGTCACCAGGAGTATTAGGCATCTGAGACAGAGGATTAATGATCATATATACTTTGCCAGCAATGGCAAAATGGTAACACCCATTAGTAGAGACTTTGGCTTAAGTCACAATGTTGATGTTTCATACATGTCATTTCCATAAATCATATGACATCCACCTAGGATAATAGTGCTCACACTTGGCCTTTTTATTATAATAGGCAGGACGGAAGATGGTTAAAGATTCATTCTAAGGCCATCCTTAGAATGAGTTTTTAACCATCTTCCACCCTGCCTATTATAATAAAAAGGCCAAGTGTGAGCACTGTTACCCTAGGTGGATGTCATATGATGTATTACAGACATGTGCCTCTTGTGCACCCTAGGGGCTGCACAGCTACCCAAGCTGTCACCTGCTGTGTTCACAGGACACAGCAGATGACAGATCATTGTACCGAGCCTGCAATGGTACCATGTGATCACTATGACCAATCACATATAAATTGTACAAAATTACTTTCATTCATAGCCATTCATTGTGTACTATTGTGATCTCTGAGATTGGTCACAGTTATCACATGGTACAGACAGAGCCAATCACAGTGAGAACAGTTACACACAATGGCACATGAATGGATGCCATGCATAAAAATTATTGCTTATAACAATGATCATCACTGTAATAAGCAATCATAGTGTAAAAAAACGTGCATCCGAAACCTCGGCAGAAAGGGATTTCTTGCATATACTAATTACTCATACATCCTAACAATGTGCAAAAATTACCATTGATGGAATACTGAGAAAAAAGATTGGCATATCAATAGACCTTACTCAATGGCACCAATCACTGCAAATGCCTGTAAATTTTCCAAAGGCTTATTCCACTGGAAATCCAGTCATAAACCTGGTGGGACTGTCCAAGCCTTACTACCTTTTGAAAAAATGTTAACACACTTCTCTTTTCTGTCACTGGAATTTTATTTCTTATCTCACCATAACTAGTCCTTCTGGGAACAGGGATTGACAAGTGGCCTAGTCTGCTTCATACAGTTGTAACCTACATACTCATAGCTGTTCAACTCTATTGCCTAAAATTGGAAAAGTGGCTCCTCTCCCACTATTCACCAATTAATCAACATTCTTAATAATCATTTCCTTTTAGAGTGCATGTTTGCTAATGCCCACCTAACCATCCCCATATTTTATGCTTAGCGGGCATCCTGGCTCAAAGATCACAGATGTATCTCCTTCTCATAACTGTTCAGTATTTTCGCGTAACTTATTTGGCAGTATGCTGTCATGACCAGGGGCATACTGACAACTCATGGGGCCCCTGGGCAATATGGGATCATGGGGCCCCTGTGTCCTTGCCCAAACTCAAAAAAGCCTATGAAAAATGTACCAGGGGCATCTCATGGGGCCCCCTACTGACCCCGGGCCCTCGGGCGGTGCCCGAGTTTCCAAATGGTCAGTCCGCCCCTGGTCATGACTGTTCTTAAGCTTGTCAGGGCATAATCATTAACAGTTCTATAAAATTATCACCTGTCATAAGGGTATACACCCAATTACTTCTACTTAATCCATTGCTGTGCTATCTTCAAATGCAAAAATATGCATTAATTGGTATACAATCTGCTATTTCTGGCCCAGATTGTTATTTCAAGTGTTACTATCACTCATACTCTCAATAACATATAGAGACTACAGCCATCAGGTAGCTTCTTTATAGCATCAGTATGGTGATCCAGCATTTTATTTTAATAACTGTATTTATGTATGTGTGTATGCTGCACAAAATCAGCATTTATTACATGCTGCCAAAATTTTGGTACCATACCTTATATATTAATCCAATTTTATGCCTATTTATATATAATGCCCCATGTGCTCATCTCCAGGGAATCCTTTGATATGGGTTTTTATTTATCTGCAAAGTCCTGCTTTTAATGGCAGTGAGTATTCCTATTCCATGTATATAATTAATAAGCATTTATTACATGCTGACAACATTTTAATACCATACCTTACAGTATACAGTATTAATCAATCTTATGCCTATTTGTTCCCAACCCAGTAGTTAAATCTAGAGGTGTATACAGAGCTTTCATAAATTGTTCCAAACTGAGATCATATAAACACATTACTATTTTCAGCCACTTTGTTTTCCTTAAATCAAAATTCTGTACACAATTTATACAGTGACCTAACATCTATTCTTCCAGCCAGGATCAGCTGTGTTTAACCTCCTCTATTTCCAGCCTTGAGAAATTCTAAAGCCACAATCTGACCCTCGGTGGAGATTTCAACTGAGCTCCCATGGGCTGGATACATTTTCTGGCAAGTCATCTCTGCCTACTGCATCTCACATGAAAATCAAATACATTCTATAATGTCTGCAATTAGTCATTGTACAATATCTGATACATCTCCACAGGTACTGAGCAAAGGAAAATAGAATAATGTACATGTGGTCTTAAGGACGATCTCGCATGATTCATGTGGTTGCAGGTGAGTATCTGGAGAAAATGTAATCGCCTGAATCTCTTTCCTACAAAATTTTTGAACTATCAATTTTGCAATGTGACATAGTCTACCTGACTCTGAGATTCATATTTCCAATGATAGTCAAAGAGATGCATTATGAAATAATGTATAAGTGTGGGGAAATAATCTGTTCATGTCATAAACCCTAGACTCCCACAGACACCCTATCTAATTCATATCAGATGCAATCAATATTTAAATTTCAAACAATAAAAGGGATGTCACATGATTTTATCCAAATTGTTCAAATACGTATAATTCCTCAGCTTTACAACATCATCCACAGACATACATACACAATACCGCCCACCCATTCATTGACACCTGGGTTTCTCCCAGGCCCCACATTTCTGCAAGATGTTTGACTTCAACACCCGAAATGCTGTAAACTAACAACTCAGTAATACCTAATCCTAGTATAAACTCCTCTCTGTGTGGGAGTTACAGACCAATCTCACTCTTAAACCTGGATCTCAAGATCTTCTCCAAAATATCAGAAAATCACAATCTTCCCAATATTGCCACATCTAATACATAAAGAACAAGTGGGTTTTGTCCCTGGATATGGAGCCAAAGACACCACCACTAAAACAATTCACCTTATCTCCTACATACATAAACATAATCTTTAGAACAAATAGGTATGAGCTCTACTCTTATCTCCAAAATAATGTCCTTATGCTCCTCCTCCTCCTGCCAGTGTCCTAATTAATGATTCCTTTTCTGACCCTTTTACCATTCCCAGTGGTACCACACAGTGATTCCCCCTCTCAACCCTCTTTGTGATCAAAATGGAGCATTTGGACAATGCCACCAAAAGCAATAACTAAATTCAAAGGATTCAAGCCAACTCATTCCATTATAAAAACATATACAAAAAAAAGATCATTTGCTTCTCAATATTCACCAGCCCCATACTAGCCTGCCATTGATACAATCTAAATTCTTGCTATACAGAGAAATCATCAATTTTGATGTTAATTTCTCCAAAACTAAAATCATAGATCTTCTCATCTACCCAACTTTATTCATACTCAAGAGTAATTTCTCCTTTCAATGGTGGATGAAGAGCATTGCTCCCTGGGACCCCTGAGGAAGTCATGTGCAGGGGTGGACTGACAACTCATGGGGCCCCTGGGCAATAGGGGATCATGGGGCCCCTGTGCCCTTGCCCAAACTCAAAAAAGCCTATGAAAAATGTACCAGGGGCATCTCATGGGGCCCCCTACTGACCCCGGACCCTCGGGCAGGGCCCGAGTTTCCAAATGGTCAGTCCGCCCCTGGTCATGTGACCTGTGACTTAACATTTAGAGTGCAGTTGGGTGACATGATTACGAATACTAGGAAGGAAACAGACACATCACATAGCAGTGCTAATTACAGAGACTCCTGAAGAGAAATACATTTTATGTGCTTGTCTGTGGTGCACCAGTCTGTGTGCATGCATTTTTATCTTGTTTTAATAAATGGGTGGTTTTACATATAACACTGTGGGTGATTATATTATGTTTCTGAACTACCAAAGAGATTTTTTTTTCATATACAGAAAGCTTTTACATCATTCGTATTAAAAAAAACTCAAAACCCAGTCTACCATATTAAATTCTTATGAGAGCTAAATTTGAAGGTAAACTAGGCTTCCCAAATCTGAAAAACAGTTATACTATGTCTAGGATTCTCCGTTGGACACATAAATTTAGATCAGAAAGTTTGGGCAAAGCTTGACAAAACTATGGCAGGGGGTAACATAGCATGTGTCCCTCGGGTCCCATATTTATATAGAGGCCTCTCTAATACCACTTAACAAAGCAGACCCTAAAAATCTGGGATATTACTAATAAACAGGAAATACTCTCTCCAGCAATTTCCCCCTTATGCTCGCTGGGGGGTTTTCTATGGTTGGGAAGTACCTTACTTCTTTAACCACTTCCGCGCCGTTCTATAGCAGAAATACTGCTACAGGGCGGCACAACTGCAGAAAATCATGTATATATACATGATTTTGCATTTCAGGTAGGGGGTGTGCACACCATTTGTGGCCTCGGCTGTCAATCACTGGGTTCTAGTTGGTGATTCCCTGCTGGCACCCGGCGATCTCAGAATATTACCGACTGGGGAGAAACCTGTATGTAAACAATACAGATCTCTCCCCTGTCAGCTTCTGCACACTGCTTTGTATTGCTCTGCACAGCAGAGCAATACAAAGCAGTGTGCTTACAGTGTAAAGCACACACAGCACACTGTTAACCCTTTGATTACCCCAGATGTTAACCCCTTCCTGCCCAGTGTCATTAGTACAGTGTCCGTGCATTTTTTTAGCACTGATCACTCTATTGGTGTCACTGGGGATGTCACTGACAGTCAGTTCCCCCCAGTGTCAGAATGCCCGCCGCAGTCCTGCAGTCCCACTATAAACTGATGAAGAATGAGAAACTACACCTGAAAACTTGAGTATGGACAATTTCCCCTGGATGCTTGGCATTATCAGCAGCTACAACATTTTGTCACTTCACGTTTGAAGAGACTATTCCCTTTAATGACTTCAATCCCTTTGACCTAAATGCCAGTAGATAGTGGATTGATGTCTATCTCCTATAAGTTATTGAATTACTGTGGACAGGGGCGGACTGACAACTCATGGGGCCCCCTGGGCAATAGGGGATCATGTGTCTTTGCCCAAACTCAAAACCTATGAAAAAGGTACCAGGGGCATCTCATGGGGCCCCCTACTGACCCCATCCCGATGGGCCCTCAGGCAGAGCCCGAGTTTCCAAATGGTCAGTCCGCCCTTGACTGTGAATCATATGAAGGTCTCAGGTTATTTAGGGAATGGAAGACAAAGCTGGGATGTCTATTTTCTGAGTCACAAAAGATGTGCCATCCTAAACTTGAACTTGACTATCTGTTTAAAAGGCACAGTGACCTCCTCTTAAAAATTATTAATATATATCAGACCCATTTCCCATGTGGACAGCAAGTAATGTGCCAAGCGAACCATTTGGACAGACAATTGATTTCAGATATTGCCTCGGAAAAAAATTGGTTGACAATAACCAGTGTCTGTTACATAGGATGTCCATCCAAATTGTAAGAGAAGTAATTTGTTCCCCATCTACTAAATGGCACCAAACTCTTGAATCCATCTGTATTGGAAAAAAGTATAAAACTCCTTCAATTGAAAGACTATATGAAACAGTCCTAAACTTGACTTGACTATCTGTTTAAAGGCACAGGAGACTACCATCTTGTTAAAATTTTATATTTATAGGGCCCCAAAGTTGGTAGCCCAGATGTTCCCATGTGTCTCAGATGGGTGTTGGAGGGGTTGTGACCAGCAGGGTTTGTATATCCATATATGGTGGGAATGTGCCAAGCTGAGACCATTTTGGACAGAAGTAAGACAATTGATTTCAGATATTGCCTCGGAAAAAAATTGGTGACAATCCGGTGTATAGTGTCTGTTACATAGGATGTCCATCCCAAATAAGAAATGTAAGAGAAGTATTGTTCCCATCTACTAAATGGCACCAAACTCTTGAATCCTCTGTATTGGAAAAAAGTATAAACTCCTTCAATTGAAGACTATATGAAACAAGTTAAAATCTCATTATGGAAGCAGAGGAATGGGTGCATGTTTATCAGGACAGATTTGAGAATTTTATTAAAAAAAGGATGAGGATGAGAAGGATGAGAAGAAGGATTCTATTTGGAAGAAGAATTCCTCCTCATGAGAAGAAGAGAAGGATCTAGAAGGGAAAAGTAATGAGTGGCAGACTGTCCTAATGGGGATAAAAAAGTATACATGGGAAGATCTCAATATGATAGATGTCATCCTTTGATATAATAGGATGTCCCCCAAGATCTCTCTCTCTTTTTGATTGTTCTGTTTGGTTGTTGTGGTTGAAATCTGTTTATGTACATACACAAATAAAGGGTAATTTAGCTATAAGAGTGGCAGTGTTTTTGAACAGGGGTTGTGTAGGGTTACCTTGTTTTGGTTGTGAGATTGTATATTTTGGTTATTGTTTTTGAACATGGGTTTGAAGTTGGATGTTTAACTGTGGTTTTATTGTATATGTGCAATGGAAAATAAAACAGTAAAACATTATATTAAAAAATATGCATTACAGTTAAAGCACGGTTTATTTATTAATTGTTACAAACGTAGTAGCTCTGCACTGATTTTATATTTTTATCCAGAAACAATCTGAGGTCAAGGATGTCTCCAACTTACAAGCTGACCTCAATGCACTGTTTAATTGGGCAACTATGTGGCAAATGAGGTTTAATGTTGATAAATGTAAGGTTATGCACTTGGGGACTAAGAATATGCATGCATCATACATACTAGGGGGGGTACGACTGGGGAATCAATGATGGAGAAGGATCTGGGAGTTCTGGTTGATTATAAGCCTAATTATGGCATGCAATGCCAAGCTGCAGTTTCTAATGCAAGAAAAATCATCTCTTGTATTAAAAGAGGTATAGACTCCAGAGAGAGAGAGATATAATTTTACCCCTGTACAAATCATTCGCACTACCTCATCTGGAATACGCAGTTCAATTTTGGGCACCAATTCACAGAACATTGGGGAACTGGAGAAAGTACAGAGTAGGGCAACAAAACTGATAAGAGGCATGGAGGAGCTCAGCTATTAGGAAAGATTAGAGGAACTGAATTTATTCTCTCTTGAGAAGAGGAGATTAAGGGGGAGATATGATCAGCATGTATAAATATATCAGTGGTTCATATAGTGAACTCAGTGCAGAGCTATTCACCCGGAGGTCATCACAGAGGACAAGGGGGCACTCTTTATAACTGGAGGAAAATAAATTTAATTTCCAAATATGGAAAGGTTTCTTCACAGTAAGAGTTGGGAAAATGAGGAATAGACTCCCTCAGTTGGTTCTGGCCAGCTCAGTGGAATTCTTTAAAAAAGGCCTGGATTCTTTCTTGGATACACAGAATATAACTGGTTACTAACATTTATAGGTAAAGTTGATCCAGGCAATATCCGTTTGCCTCACGGAGGATCAGGAAGGATTTTTCCCCCTGCAGGAGCCAATTGGATCATGCTTTGCTGGGTTTTTTTTATCTGCCTCTGGAACAACTGTGGGTGTAGGAGTGTAGGATTATAACTTTTTTTTTTTATGGTTGAACTGGATGGACTTTTGTCTTTTTTCAGCCAGACTAACTATGTAACTATATAAGACAGCAAGGACAGCGTAATGCAGATCACAGTCTGTGATCAGGGCAGGCAGCAGACACAGCATAATCCAGAAACAGCCTGAAGTGAAAGGCAGTCGGCAATTCAAAGAGTAGTCTGTATTTCAGGCAGGTAGACAGCAATAAAGTAGCCAAAGTGCAGGAATGAGTCAAGACAATGTGTCATTTATTAAACAAACAAATATCAAACTTACATTCAAGTAAGAGAAGTGTTGCTTGGATGTGGAGGGAAATGACAGTATATGTGTGAAAAAGATGAGACCGGTCTACAGACTGGCTACAGCTGCCATCCACAGGAAACCGGACCCACCATGTAAGGTTGGAAAGCAGAAGCATCAATGACCATCCTCAACGAACCTGGCATACACTAGGAATGTATGTATGTGCACATAGGACCAAATATATGCATTGTCGTACACAGATGCTATGCACGTATAGTTGCATACTAAGGATCCAGATAAATGATCCAAGGATGGTTGCATATATTTGGTGCGATATAGCATTAGAGCGTCAGTTCTGCATATGTTTAAACTCATACACATAACATTTGAATTCATTTTGGATGACCATTTTTATGTTCACTACCTTATCTAGACAAATGTTTTATTCAACTGATATGTATCTAATGTATCTGTATGTGCATATGCATTCATGTGTCTGTGCAGTTGCTTTGCCTCCAGCAGAGGGCACTTTGATATATAGTCCCTTGTGCATGGCAGACATCCCCATTCATCAACATTGGCTGTTTCTATTATGGCCCCCGAAACTGGAAATGACTTCATTTGGTGCCAGAAGTGATTGCTGGAATGCATTTCCAGTCCAGACTTTCGGTCCCGATGATGGCATGTGTTCCACGCCTTCCTGACAGCTGCTGGGGGTCCGCAAGTTTCTTTCATTCACTTATCCAGACCTGTTTATCACTTTTTGCCCTCACCTCAGTACAGGGAGAATTTGGTATGTGAAAAAGAAGGATCACGACACACACAAGTTTATTATCTATTATGGACAGCCACATTTTTCAACACAGCTGCTTTAAGTAATGCAACACTATAGAGATGTGTTGTAACATGTATTTCTATGATGATCCTTATAATATATATTATTCATCATATCACACATACACATATGTATTCGGTGTGGTCCATTGATTTATGTATACATATTGACTCCTCCCCTATAGGGTGGGAATCGTTTTTGGTCATATATATATCAGAGATATCAGGGGATATAAGATGTAAGTATGAACCTGTTCTTATGCTCTGAGGAAGAGGGTTGCCCTCAAAATGCGTCAACCATAATTTGGCCCTGGAATGGCTCTCATCTAGTCGTCAGGGTCTGTTGGCTCCTATCGATCATTGCACCAAGTGGCTGACATTAGTTATACGAATTGTCATCACATGTTTGTGAGTATGTTTTTATCTATGCTACAATAAATCTTTTTGGGATAACGTGCTAGGACAGTGTGCTCTTGCTTTTGTCTTTTTGCAGTTTTGTCTGGACTACCCTGGTCATGTGCGAGAACACTAAAGGTTTGGTTTATCCATTGTTTATCCTGATACACACACTCATCGGAGCTCTATCAGGATCACTGCCTTCAGTTCTCCACACTTATGTGCAGAAGACGTTTTTCTTCTTACTATAAAATAGGAAATGCAAAGGGAGTGCGTACAACACTTTTCAGAGGCTTCCTTTGTTAAGTACAGTCAGTCACAGGGCACAAACTGTTTTTAGACTGGTGGCTGAAAGCCAGTAAACAGGAAGAGAAATTAAACAGGAGATGAAAGTGAGGTGACAGCTCTGAAATTACCAATCGACAGGCTGATATATATATGTCAAAGACCTGGGGCTCAAAACAGAAAGAACAGCTGTATGCAAAATGTTTTCTATAGGAAATGGAAGTGGATATGGGGAAACCCATATGGAAGAAAAATATATTTGAAATTTATTTTAAAAATATTCTTCCCAAGTATATCGACATATATTTGAAATACTACAATTTTGTCCATATTCAATATATTTCAACTAATATATATATATATATATATATATATATATATATATATATATATACAGTGGGGCAAAAAAGTATTTAGTCAGCCACCAATTGTGCAAGTTCTCCCACTTAAAAAGATGAGAGAGGCCTGTAATTGGCATCATAGGTAGCATTATGAC